TTATATATTTTATAATTTTATTTTTAATTATTGTAAAAAAAAACATTTTAATATAAATCAAGTAATTATTATGGGCAAGCTAATATTTAATTATTGTAAATATAATATACAGTATATATGAAACATTGTTTCTTTTTTAAATACAATATATATTATATAACATATGAATAAATAAAAAAGTAATATTTATTTATTTAAAAATAATAATAATAAAATTAATTATATGTGTTATTTTAATTTTGATGAATTTACTTTTTGTAAAGATCTTTAATGTAATGACAAATAATACTGTACATATATAATAAAGGCATTTTTTTTATAAAAAATACAATTTACATAACATATCTATTTAATTATATAAATATCATATAAATCGCAGTAATAAATAAACAAGGCTTTGGATTATCTGATAATCTGTTTGTGGTAACAAACTTGTTAAATATGATATTATAAAACCATTAAATTTTATAAATAAAATAAAATACAGTATGTTTTTTTTTTACCTAATTGAATGTTAATTGTTATCATTAGAAATAAATTGGTTATTAAAAAATTGATATTTTATAATTACCAAGTATACAGTATATTGTGTATATTGGTTGAATAAAATAAGATAATTTATCATGCAACGAGCCATGTCATTATCATTAGGATCTTTGTGAAAAAGTAAGCCGTATGACTTTTATTTCTGCTACCTTTAATTAATTTATTTTTGTTTATTACGACTATTAAAATGATTTGTTGAATTTGTAGAGGGCAAAGTTTCAGCTTCAAAGAAAATGTTCGTTAAGATCAAAATCCGAAATGTGAAGCCATTTACGTTATTATTTAACTTGTGTTGTGTTCTTTATTAAAATTGTAAAAACTTGCATTATTGGAGATATAATAAAACTTGTGCAGTATTTAGCTTTTATAAATCGTGAAAAACGGAAAAAAGATAAACACTAAATACAGTAGGTGTAACATGTGACGTGATTTAGACTTTAATAAAAAATATAGCAGAAAAAAGGGTATAATTCGCTTGAGTTTAATTTTGCATACCACATTTAGGATAGTTTCCATCAGTTTCAAAAATCGGTCTTAACTTAGGAGCGCTGTTCAAGGAATTGCGAACAGGACTGTAGCTAAAAAACATTTCATAAGCATACCTTTGTTGACCCTATCGTTACACGAGAATTGTCAGAGGACTGTATAATAACATACAACATACTGTATATTAAACATTCCAAGTTGCGACGTGCTATCACAATACCACCCCGAGTATTTGCATGATTACTGTAAATGCGTTAAAATCATATGAAAGATTTTCTCCAAAGATGGGTTCAAAAAAAAAAAAAAAAACAATTGACATGACCAAAAGCATGTTTCAATAATCATGTTTGAACACATTCGGTTTTTTATGGTTAAACATATTCTGAAATTTGGTAATTTATAACTTAGAAAACAATATGCGTTACAATGATGAATATTGAGAACAATGAATTATTGATTCGCTCAGCTATCGATTGATTTAATTTATTTCAGTTCTGATATCCCAATCAGGACTGTAATAAGACTAGCAGAAATACTCCACGAATAAATTAAGATGAGATCATAAACTGTTATCATCACACCAACGCGGGTATTACGGTGTTTCTGCGCCTTATGAACGTAAAGTGCGTATAACGGAAATGCGAAAAAGTATGAACCGTTGAATATGATTAACCTACAGTAAGTAAAATAGAAAGGTGGAAATTTTTTGAGAAATTAACTATTAGGCGCAATAAAATAAAAAAAGGAAGGAAAGAAATACATACGATACGGTCGAATTATTTCCAACCACATTAGATATGTTTCCAATGAGATGTATTAAGGAGGAAACAGTTAGCAATGTTCCTTTATATGGAATATCATCACCAGAGGAACCTCCTAAGAGTGGAGAACCTTCCCCAACGGGAGCTTGTGTGGGTTTAGAATTTGATTGTTTCATGGAAATGTAGAAGAGGATTGGAAGGGAGTAGTCAAAGATCAATCCTATTAATGAGGTAAAGATTCAAAAATACTTAGTTCAATGTTCAAGAATAGAACATAGTACTGCACAAGACATATATGAACTTTCCTTGGAACTTAAAGAAAATATCATCCCAATACCAATCTAATTGACTTGTAGCCATAGAAACAGTCACTGAATATATTACTATGGTGATGAGGCCAGAAATGTAACTGAAGTTTGATTTGTGTAGTAACGCTGCCACAATGCAAAGTTCCATGATGTTATGGTAGATTCCAATGGCAGACCATAATTTTCCAACACTGAGGATTGCCCCAGCAAGAACAGCTAGAAATGTGACATAAACGTAAACAGAAATGATAGTGTTGAACAGGTACATCGTCCAGACGTTATCATCGGTTGGTGGATTGGTATTGATCGTTCTGTTTGAGAGTTTGATAAATATGCATGCCAGAGTTGCGATTCCTACAATGATAGCTGCAATTATTTCTGTCAAATTTGCTGCTGTACTTTTGTATAAAGAGTCATCGGGAACGGCCTCCCATATTGGTAAATTGGTGAGACCTGAGGTCTCTTGTTTAGGTGGTGACGGAAATGGACGTGCACGGTTATAAAGAAAAACTACTACGATGAATTGTATCGTAATGATCAATGGTCCCAAGGACCTTGCGATTTTTCCCAAGTCAAATGTCATCGTGAAAAGAATTTGCAGAATGAAAAAAAAAAAAAGGAACGACCTTAAATTTATAAACAACCAACTTGGTGTTTATCTATAAACATGTGTAACCCCGGAGACTGATTAGGCGTTGAAAACCGAGTTCAAAGAAAGAATTTACAATAAGAAATGGTATTATTTATTGTCAAATATTTAACATGTACGTAACGCGTACATCTATTGTGGCAGAAGTTAGTGAACCTGTGTCTACATATTTTTCCAAATTAGTTTCGGTTCAATCATTGAGTTTACAAAATTAGCACGTTTACCGAAGTACATAAACACATTCCGTTTTTGTGAATAATAAAACTTGGAAAAGCTTTTTTTGTGTGAAAGAAAACAATTCTTTGTACATTGTAATCAAATCAATTTGTGACTTTGTCTAATTCCGGAGAGACTTTTCCGCGCATATAATCAAGGCAGAAAACAATTTATTAGTGCAAACATACAAGAAATACATGTCATGTATCTAATATATTTCGATTTTTGATTTGTTGAAAATTTTCTCCAACCTCACCCCTTCTACTCGCATAAGATTCGACAGCAGAAGTATTACTGTATATTAATCTTGAAAAATGAACGAAACTATTTAATCATGCCATGTTATTTTAACATATTATGTAAATTGTACAATCAAGTTTTCATGCGTTTTATTCGTTTCATTTGTATAACAAATAAACAAAAACATGCCTGATTACAATTTTTCAATAAATTACTGTATCCGTTAAAATCCACGTCATATACGGTTCTCCATAATAGAGTTGAAAATACACGCATAAGTAATAATAATAATGCATTGCAAATCATGTAAATTCGTCTTTCTTAATATATACTATAGCAGAAATTTTTTTTCCCAAATAAAAGACATGATAGCTCATGTATGCATCATCTATGCAGATAAGGATGTCCGTTGTTTTGTGAGGTGACATACTAAACGTCCATAACAAAAAAAAATACACCATCGCTTTTAATATTATCCTTGAATATTTCTAACGTAATCAAACGTAATAAATATAGTTTAGTAAGTTTATGTCAAAGAAACTAACTAAGAGTGAATTTGAAAGCCGAGAAATATCAATGCGACATTGATGGTGAGCTACAATATGCTCACTGCTTTAGAGCCGCATATACAATACATGCGTTGCAAGTCTATAAGTAAGTCAGTCTACATCTTTGCGTAACTTCTCTTATATCTTAATTTTTAACTTTATTTCTTGTTGATGCATACTTTTATTTTGGGAAACATAACTTTAAATAGCTCAATTTGACTAATACTCTGACAGCATCAATAAACGATAGTTACATTTTCTCTTTTTTTTTTCTTACTCGCGGCATTAGCTACTACAAAGTTGTGTATCCAATGTTCAGTGGTATATTAAATAATAAAAACTAGGACTGCTACGTTGCTGGTAAATATTTATTTTTCAATGATGCATGTGTTATTCAGATATCATTTATCGTTTGCTTAGATTATAGTGGTCATGATAATTTCTGGACACATATGGAACCAAATTCGAGGAATTCCGTACACATTCTCTTAGAATGGTCAGATCAGTTATATTGTATATGTAAAATAAAATATGGATATTCCGTATGGACCGTACTTGTTTTATTCAAGTTACTTCTTGAATTTAGATGCCGCTTGTGCATTTTAATCATCTCTTTAATATTAACTATGCCAAAAATTGAAGATACTTGAAAAGGTCAACCAATACATATAGTAGATATCCGATTTCAGGTTACGTATTTGTTAATTAGTCCTTAAAATAATATTCACATGACTGCTTGATATTATATTACATTAATAATCTTAATGGTCTTTAATAAAAAATCTGTTCACAACTGACATGTACGCTTCCAATAATAAAGTTTAAAATAAAAATAAAATAAAGAAATAATTTAAAAAAGAATAATTAAAATAAAATCAAGATAATCAAAATAAATAAAAATAAATAAATACATATATATATACGTATATATTAAATTTTTAATTGTTTATTTACCAAAGCTAATCCACTTAAAAATATATTATCAACAAAAAAAACTACATTTTTTTGTTTTATTAAAAACTTTTACTTAATCAAAATAAATTTATAATCAAATATTTCTTATATTTTATTGATTTATAATAATGTAACAATTTACTTTAGCATGTACAAGATGCTACCTGTTTAAAAAAAAATATTTAAATTTAAATAATATTTACAATATCAAAATAAAAAGCTTTAAATATAATTATGATATTAAATTCTTAATTTAAAAAAAACTATAATGGTAAAATCTTTAATTTAAAAATCAATTCTAATACTAAAGTTGATTATTTAAAAAATTATTATAATATAATAATTACAAAAACAATATTGATTATAAATATAATTAAAAAATATTTAATAATAATAATATATTAATTTAATTGATTTATTATATAAATAACAATATAAAAAATATAAATTGTTTATCTTTTTAAAAAATCAATATAACTATTATTATTAAATCTAATATTGTTTATTTGCTAATAATTAAATTATATATATTTAAGAAACTACTATATAACTATTGTTATTCAAACTTTTAAAAAATTATACTTTACAATATACATGTTGCTAAAATTCATAAATCCTTGACACAATTAATTGAGTCACTATTAAAACATATAAATAATTGAGTCATGACGCAATTATTTTTGAGGATTTTGGGAATTGAGTTAACAGCAAAATAATTTACACCACATGTATAGTATATATGATATAAATTATTTGCTGTTGACTTAATTTCTAAAATTCTTAAAAATAATTGTATCCATCATAATTAAAAATCCTAATGATTTGATTTAATTCTTAATTCTCAAGTTTATATTAAATTTACTATATGAATTATAACTTACCATTATTTTTAATAGTATTTTAAATCTTATGCAAGTCTATACAAGTCTGTTTGATTCCAATTTTCAGAAATATAGTTATAACTCAATTATTTGTATATTTTAATAATAACTCAATTAATTGTATCAAATAATTGTGTCAAGAATCTATAAATTGTAATAATATATATAATACAGTATATATCTTTGTAACATGAATGAAAAAAATATATTAAAATATAAATCAGATATAAAAACTCATTATATCTCTTATTAAAAATATCTATTGTATCTTTTTTAAATGGATTTGTAAAAAGAAATTGTTATATAATAAAAGCTAATTTAATTAATAAAATAAAACAATCTGCTAAATTTGCAGATTTCATTTTTCTAATATTTATATATTCTTTAATTAGTTTTCAAATTGATTAAACATATCTATATATAAAAAAAAACTTTTCATCTTTAAGCAAATCTATAATCTTTACATTGGTTATTATATTCTTGTATTTATTTAAAATCTTAAATTAAATAAAATTAATAAAAAAAAAACAATACACATCTAATAAAATATAAAATATATTGTATATAAAAATCCCATAAAGTTTTTATCCAAGTTTTTAATTCTTTTAATTTAATTTTTATTTTTTATTAAATCTTGTTTTAAATATATATTGCTTTTGTTAGAATTTCAAAAAAAAATAACAAATTTTATTGCATTTGTTAATAAATTTTTTCAATATATCTAATTTTGTTAAATTTGTTATAATTAAATTAAATGCACATGTAGTGCAACAAATATTCCAAATATGTAAATAAATAATTTGAATTTTTTTTTTTACACAATTCTACAATTTGCAATTGCATTAGTTATTATAGCTATAAACTTTTCTTTTCTAATTTTTTCAATAATTATCAAAATTTTATTGATTGGTACTTTACTGGTAAGATTTTTTTAAAAAAAATCTTTAAGAACAATAAAATATTTTTTTTATAAAGATATAAAATTATATAAAGAATTAGATCTTTTTGATATCTATACATCTAACACTAAAATAAATAATTATTAAAAATAATTTAAATACTTAAATATATTATTAAAAAAAATATTTATCCATTTATTATTGATTTTTTAAAATTTTTTTTTTAGAAAATCTTCTTATTTTTTAAAACAAATAAGCTTTAAACTCAAGGACATAAAGACTTTAAAAAATACTGTTGCATTAAAATAAGATCTTTGATTAAGACCTAAACTTAGCTTTTGTTATATGAGAAAGAAAGACCTGTAACAGTCTTCTTTTATAATTTTTATATTTAGGTATCTTCTTTTATATGACTATAATAATTATTTTTTTCTTTATTTTTTGTCTTTCTACAATACAAATACAATTCTAATAATATATTCAAAAAAGTTACTGGGTCTAATGTTTATCTTAACACAATCTTTACAAATTTATTATTGTTTTTTTCTTTTTAAAACCAATACTCATCTTATTTTCTCATTTTTTTATATTTTTTCAAATTTACTTAAAAACCATAATCAGTTTTATCTTATCTAAAGATTTACATTGTTACACTTGATCTTTGCCCAAGATCATCACTACCTCTTGTCCGATTTTCACTAGCATTTATTCTTGAAATGTTATCCATTCTAGAATAATTCTTGTATTACTATTCTTGTTATTGTTTAGTACTGTACTTTTCATGCTAATGTTGCTCTAGAATATTTCCTAATTTATTTATTTATCTTTATT